CTCTCTCTCGTCCACACGTGCTCTCTCTCTCGTTCGCGTGCCCTCTCTCTCTCTCGTTCACGCGCGCTCTCTCTCGTTCACGCATGCTCTCTCTCTCGTTCGCGTACGCGCTCTCTCTCTCTTTCGCGTACGCGCTCTCTCTCTCTTTCGCATACGCGCTCTCTCTCTCGTTCACACATGCGCTCTCTCTCGTTCGTGCACGCTCTCTCTCGTTCGTGTGCACTCTCTCTCTCGTCCACACGTGCTCTCTCTCTCTCGTTCGCGTGCCCTCTCTCTCTCTCGTTCGTGCTCTCTCTCTCTCATTCGCGCGTGCTCTCTCTCTATCTCACTCATTCGCGCGCGCTCTCTCTCGTTCACGCGTTCTCTCTCTCTCTCGTTCGCGCACGCTCTCTCTCTCGTTCGCGTTCTCCTCTCTCTCGTACGCGCGCTCTCTCTCTCGCTCGTTTGTGTGCGCTGTCTCTCTCTCTCTCGTTCATGCTCTGTCTCTTTCTCGTTCACGCATGCTCTCTCTCTCGTTCACGCATGCTCTCTCTCTCGCTCGCGCGCTCTCGCTCTCTCTCGTTCACGCATGCTCTCTCTCTCGTTCGCGTACGCGCTCTCTCTCTCGTTCGCGTACGCGCTCTCTCTCTCTTTCGCGTACGCGCTCTCTCTCTCTTTCGCATACGTGCTCTCTCTCTCGTTCACACATGCGCTCTCTCGTTCGTGCACGCTCTCTCTCGTTCGCGCGCGCTCTCTCTCTCTCGTTCGTGTGTGCTGTCTCTCTCTCTCGTTCATGTGCGCACATTCTCTCTCTCTCGCGTTCGCACGCGCACTCTCTCGCGTTCGCGCGCGCACTCTCTCTCGTTCGCGCGCGCACTCTCTCTCGTTTGCACGCACGCTCTGTCTCCATCTCGTTCGCGTGTGCTCTCCTTCTCTCTCGTTCGCGTGTGCTGTCTCTCTCGTTTGCGCACGCATTCTCGCTCTCATTCGCGCGCACACTGTCTCCCTCGTTCACGTGCGCTGTCTCTCTCTCTCATGTTCGCGCGGTCTCTCTCTCATTCGTGTGCACTCTCTCTCTCTCCCGTTTGCGCACGCACTCTCTTTCTTGTTCGGGCGTGCTCTCACGTTCGCGTATGCGCTCTCCCTCTCTTGTTGGTGCGCTCACTCTCTCTGTCGTTCACGCATGCTCTCTCTCTCGTTCGTGTGCACTCTCTCTCTCATTTGCGCACGCTCTCTCTCTCCCGTTTGTGCTCTCTCTCGTTCGCGCACGCTGTGTCTCTCACTCGTTCACACATGCTCTCTCTCGTTCGCGCGCACTCTCTCTCTCTTGTTCACGCATGCTCTCTCTCTCGTTCGTGTGTGCTCTCTCTCTCGTTCGTGTGTGC